TTAACAAATATTATTTTTTTACTATAACTTAATACATAATTATACATAATTGATTTTCCTTTCATAGTTTTGTCCTCCTTACTGCGTCCAGTATTTCATTAGTCGAGCTTCGCTGTCTCCTGTGACAGCTCTTGTTTGATTTACATTTTTTGTCAAATTTGCCTTTAATTAAGTAAAGTTGAATGATTTTACAACACAAAACTTGGTATACTTAATTATCATGTCACAGTTGTTAAACAAGGGGCATTATTTTGAATGCATTATTGTTAAGAGTTATACCTCTTTTTAACTTTGAATATTTATAAAAATTGATTGGTATCTTAATAGACAATTAGCGTTCACACAGCAATGCTTGCATGCTCTTGTTTGTGTAGAGCATATCTTAAAGTCAGCTCATGGCAGGGTGGCTGACAGACTAGTATTCTAAGCATTGCTGGCCGTGGGTTCAGAACCCCGTCTGGTGCAAGCCGTTGTTCACGTCATAAGAAACTTTACACTTGTTGCTTAGTATTTGTTGGTTCCTGGAGGGACGGACTCGATAGTGCTTCAATAAACTTATAGCCTCCAACACAAATTCTTCAATATACATGTATCAAACAAGCTTTCACATTAAGAATTTCAATTTTAAACAAATCTCAATTGTGTTGATAATCCTTTAAGAAAGTTTGTGCCTTTTAATTGTAAAATTAAAATTTGTTAAAACCCATACCATACTGTGATATATATCTTCATGTAATAATGATCATTACATAATTATACAGTATGTGTTTAAATTCCATGTAAACAAGACAATGTGCATGTTTATTATAAGTCTAAAAAATAAAAGTTCTGTTTTGTTCTGTTCTGTTCATTTTATCAATTCATTGAATAAATAAATTTGTAAAGTAAGAATTGTAAAGGTACTCTCCTAAAACAATCTCGGGAATTATTTAACAGTTAAGTTCTAAGATTAATTTTGTACTTATTTTATTGGTATTAAAGTACATTATAAATGTAGAGAGATGGCTTTTCATGTAATCAGTGGTTAAAGCCTTTGAGATTATTTATATTGATAAAATATTAAATGGAATGTAGCATCATTGAAGCAAATCTATGCTATGATTGAGAGATTGAAAATACTCTTATATTTGATGGCTCAGAATTTGTTTCTCTATATTCATAGATATGAAATGTAAAAAAAAGAACAAGTGGTGAAAAATTGCAAAATATATCAATGCTCAGTTGTGTGTATTTATGGTAAGTAATTTATGTCACCATAAATGATTTTAACATGTAAAACATATAACAATTTGCAATGTGACATAAATGATTTTATCATGTGATTTAGAATGTCTGGTGAAATGACTGGTAAAATGGTCACTAAACCTTTATTAAAACTGTCTCAGCAAGTTAATTTAATTTAGTAAATTAGAATTTTTTGTTGGCATTGTAAGAGAAACTAGTAAAAAATCTGAGCTTTTTTCTTCATTTTAAAGGAGAAACTCGTGTGACCTGCTTGTTAATTATTTCCTAAAAAAACATATTGTGTGTCACCCAGTGTGACCCAGTATAAACAATGATATAAAGGTCACATTAAAACCACATTACACATTCTTGCTATTTTTAAGCAAGATTTACAAATTAATCGCATACCACATTTTAACTGCAGGCTCAATGAACAAGCAGATTTTTTTAAGCTCTAAATAATTTCTCATGTAGAAACTCCCACAGGTTTATTTTTGATGAGTTTATTGGATCATTTGTTCTGGTTGAGAGAACTAACATTTATGTATATACAGGTTTCATACTGATTGGTAAACTTGTGTTTATGTCTTCACCAGGTAAAAACACATACAGTGTTGGATACTGCAATAGTCTCTAGATTTATATCTCCAATTTTATTGATGAAAACTTTCTCTTTTGTTTGTACCAATACTTAGCGCAGATGTTTTCTTAAAAAAACTCAACTGTGGAACTTTGCTCACAGTGTAAAATTCATAGACTTGTAATTTATTTTGCATCTGCATTTTGTCTGTAAATTGTGCTAAATTTGATTGTTTGGATTTAGTTTACCTTATTTGGAATTTTAGTATAATTGTGTTTAAAGCTACTGTATTAGTTTCGTTACTGATTGAACGAACGTTAGACTGCTACCATTATTATTTACAGGATTATGTTGGGTGCTTAATTCTTGTTAGCTGGTGAAAAGAAGAAAGAAAATCAAGTTACCGTAAGTGCTTTCTTTGTATGAATAATCTAGAATCAATCCTAAACTGATCATGATGGAGAAGAATTGATTGGAAAATTGTATCAGATAGTATTATGCAGTTCTGAGTAAATGTTTGATGATCAATCTGCAATGAAAGAGACGAGGGCATGTTGCTTCACTTCTCGTTATAATTTAGGTTAAGGTAATTATAAACCAATTATTTTGAACAGCAAAATAGTTTAAGTTGTCGCAATAATTAATTGATCAAATTAAGATTCTATTCGGTAAAAGGGAAATAGTTTATAATCAATACGATGTTCAGATTATTTTGTAGATTCCTTGATAGAAGATGATTGCCCATATTTATGTTATAAACTTATGAATAATAAGTGAATCTCTGTCTCTTGTCATATGTGATAGATCGTTTTATCTTCTTGTTTAACATATTTATTTTTATCGATGTTGTTGTTTTGGTTTACAAAGAAGTAATGTAGATACCATTTTAGCAAGGGAAAGTGTTGAGTTATATACATTGTAATAATACTTACTTTTAAACAATATCATCATTATCAAACAAAATATTTATTATGTAAACTTTGATTGAAAAGTTTATAAACATCACAGCATGACAGTAAAACAGTACACTCCATGTACAGTTAAACATGGAATTGTCAAACATTTTATACATATGCATTATCACACTAACATCTATAGTTCACTAACTCCTGGCTATTTTCCCTATTTAACATTATAATTTAAATATTTTGACATGCAACATGATATTCTTGTACTGAGTTCATATTTTTTAGTAAATCCATATAGTGTATAGTTTTATGACTTAAAGCAAGTTTATGTATTGCAGTTTCTATAATTTTATCAATCTGAAATGAATTGTTAATGTAAGTCTTGAAAGCAAAATGAGCCGCGTCATGACAAAACCAACATAGTGCGTTTGCGACCAGCATGGATACAGACCAGCCTGCGCATCGGTGCAGTCTGATCAGGATCCATGCTGTTTGCTATCAGTTTCTCTACTTGTTATAGGGTTTGTAAGCGAACAGCATGGATCCTGATCAGACTGCGCGGATGCGCAGGCTGGTCTGGATCCATGCTGGTCGCAATTGCACCATGTTGGTTTTGTCATGCTGCAGCTCAAATAATGTTACATTGTATTCTATTCTCTGCAAAAGTTACATTCTATGTTATAGGGTTATCACTGTTACATTGTATCTATCATCTATCATGTTATAAAGTGTATACTCTGTCAATAAATCTAAAACTTTCCACAAAATGTAAAACATCCACTTACTAAACTTACTAAGCATTGAAGCTAATTAGGTGTGCAGATTTATTATTGCATGTTTGCAGAATATTTTATTTACAATTGGATATTTTTCTGATAAAATTGATCGATTTGAAGCTTCTAGCAGTATATTTAATGCTATTTTGATGTTCTTTACACTGTTATCTTTTAGTACTACATGGAATATCTATTATTCTAATGTTGATTCACTCTTGCTTTGCAACTTTCACTGTTGCTAAACTTTATGAAAAAAGGAGAGCTCTCCAACTTACATGGTCATCTGTGCATCTGCATCGACATCAGTGTTAAGCCCACATACCATCACATATTTTTTCCCTGTATCTTTTACATGTTCTTAAAACCTTGCATAATTTGCATACTGGTTATTCCTCTCTATGGATCTACTTATTTAGAATTTATTGTTTTGAATGGGAAAATAACCAAATATCTATATACTGAAATGGGAAAACTGTTCAATTTACTTTTATATTGGACTTGAGTTGCAATAATATTTTGGCATCAAAATAACTGTTTGCAGATCATTTTCCATTATTTTGATAACTTCTGCATGCAATTTATAGCCCTGATAGTATTGTAAAAGATCATTTAAAGTGATAAGATGTTTATAATATCCTCCAAGTTATGTTGTTTGCACCATATGATGTTCCAATCATTGTTGGATGTAATCTTATCAATTTAGCCTTGTTTCCTTAATTTCCAGAGTATAAAAGATAATATCAAATGCATATTGTACCCTTTTCTTTTCAGAGTCCAAAACAAATCTATATCAAATGCATATTATACTCTGTTTAGTCTTGTTTTTATTTTCAGAATTCAAAAATTCTATATTAACTGCATATCATATGCCATATAGCCTCGTATTCATTTTCAGAGTAAAAAAAATCCATATCAAATCCTCATTATACTTGAAGTAACAAAGTTCTGTCAAAATGTCAAAAATGGTAGTGTGAAGTAATACTGATTTTATTGGACTCATACACTGCTGCAAAATGTATATCAGACTTGGTTGCCATCTTATGTGTTGATCTAGATCAGAGTTGTATGTTAATAGTGCATTAGTAAAGTGTTGTTCCTTTGTTATCTCATGATTTTCTTTTTAATATTTTTCCTCTATAAAGGAATTAGTAAGTGAAGCTTATGACATTAGTGTTATATAGTATTCCTCCGAGGTATGTAGTATCTTTTCTATATGGCATCTTAAGTCTTGGAGACATTAAGATAATGTTGTTATATATGAGAGATTGTTCAGTGTCTAAGACAGTAATATAAAGTGGATTTGAGGTGTCTTATATGTCCATTCCCAGTGACAGTATAAAGCTAAAATAGTCACATTGATCCATCTAGACAACTCTAGACAACTCACTCTCACTCTCTCTGCTGCGTTTTCGCTGCTGTCTTGTATATAATACACATGACATTGTCAGGTATTGGTTGATTTGGGTTCATTAGAGAGCCTGCCAGTATTGATCCGACACTCAAATCAGCAGAGTTTTCTACTTAAGTTTTTATACGATTCTTCAAAATAGTTAATGCAGATTTTTCTCTTGACAGTTCCCCCTAACTGGCTTGTGGATTATACCAGTTTGTTAGTGATCTATGTTAACCATAAATGGACAATAATTTGCTGACTTTATGGAAACTGTTATTACGGATGCATAATTGTAGAAAACTACAGAAAATTGGTATTGATTTGTCATTTCACCTGTTATTTATAAAATGTGTTCAATAGAAAAACAACAAACTGTTTTAAAGGTAAGAGAATAATGGAGTTGTTATAAGAGTTTATAATTACAACACCATGGTTACGTTGATAATGTAACACTGATAAAGTGCTGCCCCGGAGGGATACAACAACAGACTCCTACAGTGTTGCTAGAATTCTACTGTGATATAATCGTATGTTGTTCTACAGACCTTTGAAACAGCGACAGAAATTTTGAGGAGAGGAAAAACAAATGCATTAGAAGCTTTTAAGTTAGGAGACAACATTCTTGGTAGGATATTTTCATGAATCATTCATTCACAACTCCTGCAATAGAGCTGTGCTATTTTATGATGTATTTTGATTTAATATTTAATTGATCAAAGGAATATTTAATTGGCTGGTTTAATGTAAGGGCTTATGTTAGATATGTGTAATTTGTTTGGTATGAAAGGTTTATTAGAAATTATATGTTTACCTGTACTAGGTGATTTACATTTTTTCTTATGAAGAAGTATTTGGTATGGAGGTGAACTGTTTTCTCTTTATTTTTATGATGCACACTGTTACAATTCCTCTATGGTGTGAGTTTTGTGAGAACTTTTAAAGTGTTTTTTGATGTTAACAAGTACATGTATTAATATACAATTGTAGAGGGCACTTACAACTTCAGTACATTAGATTTATTCAAACTCGACACACACTTGATATTTCAGTCTACAGTTCACAAATTGTCATCTTTGAACTGTGGCAATCTATGCACATGTTTTTCTGTGACAATTTAGTTTAAACTTTTGTATCTTTCTGCAAATTTCCACTCACTGTTTATTGATAAGGAAAAGCTGACAGTAACTTACTGACAAAAAAAAACAAATACATTATACTGAAATACTTCTAGAACTGTACTTTGAAATGCAAAGTAATAAACAAACAATTACAGTGTGCATTTTTTGTGTACATTTAATCAAGTCAAGCAACTGCGCATATTAGATAATTGGTTTTCCTAGCTGTATAGGTATAACTCATTTTGTAACAATGTCACTCAAAAAACTGACATATCTCAAGCTTTAAAGTGCGAGGTAAAAAATATAATGAGATTTAGAATGTAAAGATTCTGAGAGATTTAATAGAAACATCTAGAAGTGATTTCATCAATGCAGGTTTATAAGTCTCAGGATTTTAACAGATAACACAACAGTATGTTATTTTGACTATCCCGAGACTTTAGTTAATTCATATGTAAACTGTTTGTAAGAAAGTTATGATAATATAACACTATCCCTGTGCTAGTCGAGCCAACACAACCATTCTGTTATTTCATGAATGCAGGTTGAAGTCTCAGCATCAGTTTGTGCCATTAGCTAGATTATTTCACCATATTCACACTTTTTATTATATGAGCCGTGTCACGACAAAACCAATGTAATGCGTTTGCACATCTGGGCAGTCTGATTGGGATCCATGCTGTTCGCTTACAAACCCTATTACAAGTAGAGAAACTGATAGCGACCAGCATGGATCCTGATCAGACTGCGCGGAGGCGCATGCTGGTCTGGATCCATGCTGGTCGCAAACCCACTAATTTGGTTTTGTCGTGACGCAGCTCATATATCTTAACAAGTTTCAGTGATAACACAAGGCCTATGCTGCAAGTTTATAGCAAGCCATCTGCAGAAACATGCAAGACTCTTACTCCAGGAAGCATGATTAAGATAATTTTATAATTTTGAATTATTAATAATTAAATTTGTGAAATTAGCATTTTAATATTATGGACCCCATTGAGCATGTTATACAGTGCAAGGTTTCTCAAATTAGAATGACGTCAAAGAAAACATGGTATGTGAAATAGATATGGCAAAAACTAGCTGCTTTAGGCTTATAATTAATATAATAGTACCTAAATGCCCTTAATTGAGTGAGTGAAACCTCTTTTGTTATTTCAATAACTTAAATAGCTTTGCTTAGAATTTTGAATCAGTAAAAATTGTGTTTTAATTTTGTGCAATTGTTCAAAAAGGTAAATTGTAATGGAAGACTTATTCATCTTTTATTTTAGGTTTTGTCTTTTGTATTATCTTGTAATATTTTGCATACCTTCCATGTTTGCGGATAAATCTATATTCAATGTATGAATAGAAAATTTATATAGAAAACTGCCAGATATTTATAATATTTTATTCCTACCTAACAAAAAAGACCTCCAAAAACAAAGCCAAAAAGAAAAAGATAAAATAAAAATAAAACTATGTTGAAATTTTGACTAGTGTTATAAATGTGAATTATCTTTTTACTTATTATAATATTCATTATTTCCAACTGAATTTAAATGTATGAATTTATCAATTGATTTGACCTCATTATAATTGCAAGTTTTGGGTATTATTATAGTACCAATATACTTGAAACATGAGTCAAGTTTTAAGCTTCTAAATTAATTTAAGAATTTAAAAGTTTTCCCAGTCAATAAAAACAGTGTATATTTATGGACAATTTGGAAAAGTTTATGAAAGTATTAGATTAAAGCAAGCTTTGTTACATCAACACATACATGTGCCATCAGACTAATCTATTGGGCTTTTCTGTCAATATAATCAAATCTGGGCGATACAGTATTGACAGAATGAACAAATCTCCCCACATTACTCAAAACAATTTCACCATGAGCAAACAAATTGACAGGAAAATATTAATTTTTCTTCCCTTAAACATAACTAAATTTTAGAACAGACCTGCAGCATATTGACTGAAATATATCATAGATCTTGCTGAGCATTTTATGCTGAATATTTTGTTTGGAATTTACTCTATTTCATGACAACAAAAGACTACTTTAAAAATTAAATTTTCAGTCATAACAAAGAATTACTGTACATGCAGCACATGTTTGTTAATCCTTATTCTAACACGACCCGCATTTTTTCCTATTGAACATAGAGGAACCGAAAGTGTGTGTTATTATGCTATAAAATCACTGTTTGACGTTCTATATTTAGACATGTGACGTAATCATTCTATACGTGACGTAACCACTAAAAATGTGACGCGCTGAAAATAAGTACGGAAACAAATCAGGGGCAGTTTAGCTAATTATAATGTACGGCAGCATTTATTTGTTGATGTCGTGTTAGAATCGAAATAATATATCCAAATCGGTGATTTTATTGCTCGATAACATCACTGTTTGTCGTTCGGATGCGCATCATTATATCACTCGGGCTAGCCCTCGTGATATAATTCCCCGCATCCGAACTCCAAACAGTGATGTTATTGAGCAATAAAATCACAGTTTGGGATATATTATTTCTTAAATATAGATTTTAGTTGATAGAACAATATATGGTACACTAAGCTATTCTGATCTTCATTGTTGGAGGTCTCAGATGACTTGGACTTCCTGTGATACAAAAGACAAAAATATCCACGAGTTTCATGTGATTTTATTCACTTATTCAGTAACTTGCCATTTTGTCTGTTATGTCCATCCGTCTGTTTGTCTGTCCATCACAAAACATGTCTGTACTAACTCTTCAAAAGCTACTGGTGCAATTTCATCCATACTTTACAGATATGATCAGTATCAAGTGTAGTTGTGCATATCATTGGTATTTTCCAGTTCGAGTATTTTTGTTAGAGTTATGGTCCTTCAATGATTTTAAACATTTACAAAGTATTGTCAAAAACCAAAAAGACATCAGATTGCTTTGTTAATATACATTTTAAGAACAAAATAACTGCAGTATCTAGAATTTGTTTTTGCACTCTTATTGCATGTAACATTTAATGGTGCTGTAAATTTACTCTCAAACTCTTCTATATATTTGAAGCATCAGTGTCTTGTACATGTATTTTACTATAATGACAATAGATATAAAACTTGCCTGAGGATAAGATTGATTGAAATGGCTTTATTTGATGAAACAACATTAACTGTTATATAGATTTTCCAGCTGACTTACTCCTCTAAATACTTAACATTGTCATATACATGTATATATATCCTACAATAAGTACCAGTATTTGGTATCTTCCTATAAATCTGCTTTAAGGACACTAATTGATGTCTAATATTGTATTGTCATGCAACCATTACCTTCAACAGATCAACAATAAATATAGTAATACTGTAACATAGCATTGTACAGCCAGAATTGTAGAAAATCGAGTTATACATTGGAGAAAAATACAGCCAAAATATTGTAGAAAACTCCGGTTACAAATTAAGTTGAGCTGTCAGTAGTTTTGAGCAATTATCGATGTATGAAATTATAAGTAAACATTGTTAACCATTCTATAATTTTGTTATGCTAATGGTGCTTGCTTGATTTGTAGCAAAGTTTGTCATAGTTCACATGATTTGTAAATTGCTGTATTTATCCAATAAATGAACTATTGGCAGAAGAATAATAGCAGCAGTTTTCTTTATTTTCTTGTGAAAATTTTGAGAATGTGTGTGTGTGTGTTTCTTCTTGAATTACATTCATAAAATATTCATGACACATTCAGGAACAGTAATATATTGCCCGCCAAGATCTTTTCTCTGAGAGACTCAGTAAATGCCATTTTTTTGTCATTTATGAAAAAGTTTTATTGTTGAAGGGAAATTTATATCATAGGTACCATGGTGCAATATTTCCTTATTGCACATGGGAACTTAGACTTATTAGATTTATTCAACACACATTAAGTCATCATTTATTGATGGATTGAAACACAGGGAAATTTGGTAACTTTTTTCTCATTATTTGGGGGTGAATCTGTCATATTTTATCCCTGTTCCAAAAACATGTATTCGAGATTAAGACATTCAGTACGAAAATTTATTTCCAAATTCTTAAAAGCAAAAGTTAAGAAACTCAAATACCTTTTGATTAAAATATAATTTAAGTCAGTTGGATATACTCACTTTTTTTCCTGATTTTATAAGATAACAGTGGTATCTGGATTCATCAAACACAAATTAAACAATGTCTTTTATATTTCATGAATCTAGATAGTGCAACTCTTTTGATTTCAAACACAAACACACAATTATACAAATACATCTATGATGATGAACATCTAGGTTTGTATTAATGAACTAAACATATTTTTACATACTCTGTTCTGGATAGATTTAGGTTAATGATGTAATGGATTTCACAGAAATTGTAAGAAAACATTGCAAGGTAGATTATTGTATTTTTATCTTAAAAGAAAAAAGATTTGTTCTCTGAGAATCGATGTTAAAATGTATGTACTTTAGTTTGCAATGTGCATTCACAGACAGTATAGCCCGACCAACAGACAGGG